GCATTGTTTTTGATGTTTGATTTGACTTGACGACATTTTTTTGGACGGGGTGACGATGGCGTCTTCCATTGACTTGAGTGTTGCTTCGTTTCTGGGTCATAACCGTAGCATCAAGTCTCATCACCAGTGATGACCTTTGACAGAAAATTTGGATCAGATTCAAGCTATTCTTTCAAAACACGGTATTCTTTTTGATTGTCAGTCAGAGCCCTCTGTTAAAATTCGCTGAAGCGAACTCCATGACAACCCACTACTTACGGATAGTTGATCAATTGTCAGTCGACGGTTACAAGCACATGCTCTCAAATTTTTTTAACATTTTGGTCGATTCGTACAGTTGATGGACGTCCAGAGCGAGGTTTGTCATCAATCGACGTGTCGTCATTTTTAAATCGAGCAAACCACTTACTCGTACACCTGAGATTTTCCTATAGCATCATCTTTGTAAGCTATTTTCATCATTAAAACTGTTTCAGCAGCATTTTTACCAATTAGAAAGCAAAATTTCACAACTGTACGTTGCTCACTGAAGCTTGCCTTCGTAAAAAACGAAACAAGCACGAAACAGCTCTAGCAAAAATAATGACTAGAGAGGAACGAAACAAGCCAGATCGACAACTCAGGTGACACTCAACTGGTAATGATTTGCGCTGTACGCCTCTAGGCGCAGAAATGTGTACTACACAAGCTCCGCCCACTGTAATGCTATTCCGATTATTTTCCGATTATCTCCTCGTATACTTCACCGCATGCTGGTAACATCATCCTTTATCATTTGGTGTAGACTGTAGCAATTTTTAGTAAGTACTTATTTCTATGTTGCACTTAACGAATTCGGACTACGTAGAAGGATCAAGTATACGATTTTTTTGTCGCCAAAAGTATGTAGTCAGGAGTCAGGATGCAAGTTCATACTACAAGTCAGTTAGGCTTAAGTCTTCAGTTCGACAGTTATTGATACGTAACTTTAAATTCGAACACGAAAACATATAAAAGTGTCTGGCTTCCATACAATCACAGTGTTCTAGCAGTTCTAGCAGTTTGAACTTCATAAGGACAAATCCGCCCAGTACGAATAGCTACTTGCATATACTTTCCAGAGAATAGAATGTATGCGAATGTGGATTGTCATTTTTATAGGGATTGGTAGTCAAATTAGCCAAAACTATGCAGTAAAACTACACAATTTTGGCAACAACAACATCCAATGTAAGCGTATAGGCTCTTTTTAATCTATTCGAATTCTTTGGTGGTTATACTCAACCCTAGCCTAACGCACATACTATTTAACGTCTTTCGAGCTTTGGCATAGATTGCATGCGAACCATGAATTTACTGGGGCAGATATGGAATCTGCGTTCAATAGCTTGGACGACTCTGGCTGTATTTCCTCTTTGTCCCGTTGTTCGGTTAGATGTTCTTGCTTGGAGTACCTTTGCTTCCCGACTACTTCCTTCCACTCAATCAAGATGCCCAAACCAGCTCAACTGATCGTTCTCTCCGAGTTTTGATACTTTCTGCGCTTCAAATGTGTGTATTGTATGATCTTTTCTTATCCCTTCAATGACACCTAACATGTCTTTCACAATTCTGTCACCTTCATTAACTGGGCCCTCTACTCAATTCTCTAAGTAAATAATCATGATATAGATACTATAGATAGAAAACTATTCCAGAAGGAATTATTTTTTATCGACTACATTAGCTCATAGTATAATTTTGCAACTACATTCCATTCAAGCCAGTATCCTTTGATTCTAGCAAGGTTCTTAATTGCCTTTGATGCTGGAGGCATGTATTCATCCATTGTAAGTGCCTACTATTCTGGAATATCGATTCATTGGTTTCATTGAATTTAAAGTTTAAAGGACCCCATCGCTGCCAGCCAGTCTTTCTTTCCCAGACTATCCATTTATTAGTGTAACACACCGATTCATCAATTCACTGCTTCTTTGTGTCGACTTTGCGCTCTGAAAAATTACTCGCGATAAAAGAGGTTCTGTGATTTATGAGTATCTTGACATTGCGAAAATTGAGTAGATTTGCTCAATACGTTAAATTTCACGAAAACATGTAAACATCAACATTGTTCTCCCTACTGTTTTTGCAACGTTTTTGCAAAAGGGATCGATGGTATAAGAACTTGAGAGCACCTCGAGAGATTGACACAGGAAGATGGGTAACTGGTTTATCAGGAAGACAATCTACAGAGCATTCCACGTAGCAATGCAACGATTGATTACTATAAAAGTTGACGTAACACAGTTACGAAAATGTACAAAACTCAGTACCGTATTCAGAACTGTTTATTCCAAATATAGTTAAAAACAATTTAACTTTATTTCATTCCTACCTGACTTGTAATATAGTCACTATCATTAGCATAATTTTACTTTTAGCGTTTTTATTGTGTGCTATGGAACTTTTCTAAATAAAAGATTTGTTATGTAATATGAATCCGTAACGTACAACCCAACAAAATACGACTCTAAATACAGACCGAGAATTGACAGATCCGCCAGAATCATGTGTCACTTGTCGACATGGGGTGTTCTGATATGGAGTTAGATACCCAGCTGATATTTTCTGTCACATTTGACGTAATAGATACTTGGTGACAGCCTTAGGCTGATTAACTTGTTATCTGAAAAATATATATCAGTGTCTGCTATAAAAAGTTCTGAATACGGTCCTGAACTTCACCCCATTCACACACTACATACATATATACATATATATATATATATATATATATATATATATATATATATATAGGTGAAAAATTAAAGCTTCCGCTTTTTGTTGGGTACTTCGACAAGATTTAAGCAAAGAGGACTCTTTATACTTTTTTTTAATTCTCTCTAGCTTTCAATGGACTTTGCCATCATCATCAGGAGCTGTAATTACAATGATAACAGTAGCAACAAAGGTGTAAAATGAATTTAAATTGACTCAACTTACAGTAGTATGTGAGAATGTTGCTAATTGTTGTTTTCGTATAGGATGAGGGAAACGTCCAGTAACATGGTGAGAGCTGAATAGGTTGCACAATAGTCAAAATTTATACAAAACATGACAGAAACACGTTAAAAACAGATTAAAAATTATTTTAAAAAATTAGAACATTACATCGTGAAACCACCTGATGATTGCACAAATTAGTGGTCATGGAATGATGAATTGATGAGTGACATGAAACCCTTTGACAGAAGGCCGAAGGATGTCAATGTCAGTATTGAAAGATGGAACGAATTGTGGGCGTGTGCCAAAAACGTTGCCAAATCACTTCAGATGAAGAGATTTTCAGAATTTTATGATGGAATTTGTTAAACCGACCAGAGGCAGTTGAATAAACTATATTATTATTAATGGGAATTTAAATTAACAATTATTAATAAATCGTGAGGAGAGAATTATTATATTTTGAGTGGAATGAAATTTACTGGTGGAACCGGCCAAAACACAGATTCTAATTATGGTTGTGAAGAGTTGAAATTTGGGGAGATATGTAAGTTCTCCAATTTTTCGCAGTTTAGCAAATATGAGTAAATGACACTCAGTTGTTTAACATCTGTCTTTTTGTTGATAAATCTTGTCGAAGTACCCAACAAAAAGCGGAAGCTTTAATTTTTCACCTAACTGGTCTAGACGACAATGACCACGTCTCAAGTTATATATATATATATATATAGTATACCGACGTTTGTCAAATACGTAATATGAGGTTAGAAAAAAAATTTAAATGCTAGCATTCATTCTTTTTTGTTACTAAACAGTGTAATAAACAGAAGAACTTGTTTTCATAAAGTTAGAAATATTCGCAAGTGCTCTCCGCTTTATGAAAATAGAAGTTATTCTCAAAACCTGTATGTCATCCCCTTGCTATTTAAGTTTTAGGACCCCATGCGAAATATTACACGATTGATATTCGTAACAAAATAGAAATGTATGCTTGCATTTTTTTCTAGTCTCAAACTGCGTATTTGAACAACCGTCGGTATATTTGACTTGTTTGTCAGTTATCTAGACAACCTTAGTCAAATTCAAGCAAATAACCAAAAATGGTATTTACCATTTATGGATTTATGGATTGGTATTGGTATTTTATTTACGGATCCGTTCAAGCGAGTGTGGTTATCAGTTCGGTTAGAAAATCCGTGACGTCATGAATCAGCTGTTATATGTCATAGTTATCACCGCAAAATTGTGGTATGTACATTTACCCAACTCAGGAGTAGTTTTATATTTCTTGTTATTACTTGAAATGTGTGTGACAATTTTGAATTTTGCCGGGTATTGGATATTTTTATTGTACTTCAGCTTCATTTGTGGGAAACTTGATATAGGCTGACTTCAGTTTTAGCATAAAGTAGAGCACCTTATTAGTTATAACCATTACTGTTGTTGGGGACACTTTAAATCTAGTTCCTATGCTTAACAAAGTATCCTGTGTAGCTATATCGCATAATAATATTAAAATATGGCCATATTAAAACCTACGTTCAGGCGATTCGGGTAACTTACGTCATCAACCCGCGTGTCATCTTGAACCATATTATAACCGCGGTACATAACATAGAAATTTTGGTTATTCGCTTGCATTTGATTCTTGTCTTAACCGCCGGTTATGACCGACGTCGTCAGATTTTCTTCCCGCTAGGCAGCGCTTGTGTGGCTGGTGATCAAACTGACAGAAGTAGACGAAAAAAAGGCAGATTTGATACACAAGAAACCCTATTTTTAACAACTCCCTTACGTTTTGACGTTTATTGACGTGCCCAGCTGTTTAGCAACTGACATCTTGTTTATAATCTTAGATATAACCACCAGTGCCACCTGCTTTTACCGTTTCAGACTACCCCCCCCCCCCATTCTAATGCATTTACGATCTTTGAATTTCGACCCCACCATGTCAATGACGTCATCAAATTTCAATCCCGAGTTTTTTATAGGGATATTGTTACTCAGTAACATATTTAGCTTGACGTATGGCTGATGCGATCTGTCAAGGTAGTTTTTTTTTTTGTGTTCAATTTTGTGGCAAATTGGTCCTTTGGAAATCATGGGAGAAAACATAAAATTAACCTTCGAGCAAAAACATACCCTACTTAATTTTATGGTCGAACATCCTCTGTTATCAAGAGGACAGTTATTGGGGGCAGGAGGAAGAAACATGCGATCCAGTTTATGGGCAGTGCTGGCAGAGCAATTGAATTCCTGTGGAGGACCTAACAAATCAATCACCAAATGGCAGAGAGTAAGTCCATATATATTATATCTAATAAAATCTTACATTGTATGCGTAGGTTGATCTCAAGAATAAGACTAAAAAAAAGCTTCTGCCATACGAGCTCACCAGCCAGCCAGTGGAGAACGACTTCGGTCAAGGCAAGTCCTCACAGAATTTGAGGAACGTATTTTAGGATTTTTGACTGAAGAAGCGGTTCATGGGTTGGAGTCCGATGTGTCCCCTGGCAGTGTAGCTCGGCTACCTACCCTAACCATGCTAATACACACACTGCAAACCCATTCACCTGTAAGTAGTAATCTAGAGGGTTCGTTTAGATTTTAGATGAAAGGTAACTGTTATCTAGTGTAACATTATAGTCTAGCTATATCATTTATGAGTTTATTTCAAAGTCACTTAGGTCTACAGGCACATTCAACGAGTTCCTCAGCATATCATTAGCTTTATTGCATCATTTTTTTGTGTCTCTTACGGAACCCAATGTTTTTTTGTCTGAATGAAACCATATATGTTGAAATTACTGTTTAGTGAGATTTTATCCACCACAGTGGACTTTTTTACTGTACAGATCAATATAATATTTCAGGGGTAATCTGAAAACTTTGAAGTAGGTGGTGCTAGTTAGGTTCGGCATCATATCACAGTTAATAAACAGATAAAGATGTCAATTGCACATGAAAAATAGGAATCTTTCTATCAAACTTGTCTTTTTCCTATCTATCTTCGATGTTGTAATCTCCAAACATACAAGCATTACATAGTAGCAGTAACATTGGAAATCCTTGAAATTGTATGGCTTTGCATGACCTTGGGATGGTACAGGACTTAGAGGATGTTGTTTCAACATATTGTATGGAAGCAGTATATCAAATGAATTGTCACCTGGAAGACAAATGAATATAAAATATGTTTTCATTGTCATTCTGATCTGTAGTTTGAAAAATGCTGCTGTGGGGGTCAAAACATTAGCGAAGCCTAATTTTTGCACATATAGCTTCGTTTGAACAGAACAACATGGATTTCTATCACCATGAAAACTACAGGATAAGTTTCAGATGTTAGATCTTTTCTCCTTTCTTTCCACTTTCTCTCTGTCTCTCTCACTCTAAGTAGCTATAGATTAGTTGACCTAAGAGTTCTGTCATTGCTGCATTCTAATGAGTAATTTAACTTGTTCTTAGTTTTTGTATAATATGCATCATTTTAGTTTGAGATACCACTGATAGACATTTCTTTTGTTGGCTTAGTATGTTGATCAGTTCTATAATATTTACTAATCCATTTGATGAAAATATGCTGTTGCCCTAGCAGCAATATAGTTTCACGTAAAATAAATAATGTTATGATCTAAAATTATCATTATTTCCAAAGATAATTATTATTTTTATATTTAGGTGGGGTATAATCCTGGCCCATCAACATCAAACATGGCCATTGAGGAGTCAGAACTTAAAAAAATCAGCATTTTTTTCAACTTACCACAAATACTGGCATGTAAGCTAATGGTCTTAGAACATCATGTAACTTCATAATTTAAACATTAACAATTTGTAAGACCCATTTTTTGTTTGAATACTGCATAATACAACATTGATGAAATTATTCAGAATACAGGTAGAAGATGAACCTGAGCCCTCTCCAATTACGGAATCTGCATCCACCAGCAGGTCGACCTCAGTAGCCACCCAATACTCTGCCTCATTGGGATCAAAAAAATGTAAGCATTATTGTATGTACCAATATCAAGTGGTTATATGAACATCATTTTTGTACATGTTTCTGGCTTCTAGATTTTTTTGAATGCAGGGTAAAAATTATCATATCTTCAATGGTGGTAATAAGTACTAAATAGATATTTGCCAGACTGTTTATAAAATAAATAATATTATATACATTAATGATCTAAAAACGTTTCAGGTAAAAAGAAGTCACAGGCAGAACAAGCCTATGCAAGATTTGCCAAAGCAGCTGATGAGCAGAACCAGAGGTGGCTTCCGCTGAAAAAATGCTACACAGATTCGCGGAAAATATTGATAGAAGCTTAAACAACTTTTTGGAGGAAAGAAAAATGACGAATAGTCTGCTGGCCCATAAAAACGCAATTTTATCTGAACTTCTAACAACTATTAGTGAAAAAGCGAAATAGAATTTAAAAATAGTTTGTTTTGTATTTTGTAGTTCTGTTAGTTCTTGCCTGTGAACTATCTGTCTTGTTTGTTTCTTTTATGCCTTGTTCAACGTATTTATGTTTATATATATATATATATATATATATATATAAACATAGGTGAAAAATTAAAGCTAACCTAACTGGTCTAGACGACAACGTCTCAAGTTATATATATATATATATACATATTTTTTATCGGACACAATAAATGAACAATTTAAAGTATTGGGTCTTGAATGGATTAAATTGTGTAATGAAAAACGTGCATTCAGACATACTTTTAACGTACAGCACTATTCACCCAGTTTATTTTTGAACGGGAAATTCGGTCTATGATCACTATATTTTAGCGTAAAAGTGGCATTTGAAAATTTCAAGATGGCGATTGGGCGCTATTTTCGAACATTCTTAAATGGAATGGAAGTTCTTGTTACACCGCTTGTTCAAGGTCCGCGAGTACTTTATAAACCTGGAATATAAAATCACCATCTTATGTCTCCTTCTCTTTGAAGAGTCTATCCGAATATGTAATAATATATTAAATAATATATTATTTGTATGAACAGTTTTATTTCAGTGAGCTATTATCGGTTGTTGTACCAGTATTGATGTATGAATAAATCTTACATAATAGGGATATTAGATCGTCGTGTGGAATTCAGATATTAGTTGCGTCATTGAAGGTCCGTCTTCGGAGAAAACAGCTCTGATTTAGATTTTTTTTTTAATTCTTATTTTTGATAATTTAAATGAGCAACCTCTTAAAGGTATATTGTTGATCAATCTCTTGTATGCATATGGGACATAAAAAAATAAGCCAATAAGCCAATAGTTACTATAAAAAAAATTTGCTACGGGGCTTCTATACCGAGATGCAAGCTCCTAAAGGGCCTTTTCTCGAATAACTTTTGAATGACACTGATTTTGACAAAATTCTGAAAGCTTGGTAACCATTTACATCCATGTCCATCAAGAATAATTAATCCATGGAACTGATTTCGTTTCACATTTCTGGTGGATTCTCAATGTTTTGTTTCGCTCCCACCCTCATTAAGTGTTCCAATATTCATTAAGTCCAAGTAAGCTTCTTTAGTCAGTCAGTTCTTTGAATTGTCGACTGGGCATAGAAAATAGACCTTGAGAGTCTCGTATGATTCTCCGAATTAAACGCGCATGATTTTGTCCTCACGTTCCCATTCATCAGCCGCTATGTCGTTCACAAAATTTAAAGCCACATAAAAATATCATCGGCGTTACACAAATACAAACGACATCAAAGAACTAGTCTGGGAAGTAAAAGTTCATACGTGTTGATTCTGTTTTTATGTATAATCTCTTTCAAAAAGGACCCCTTTTAAAGAATCTACATACAGGCCCAAAATTGTGTCTAAAATTGTTTAATTTTTCTAAACATTCCAAAAATTGCTTTTCGCTCCGCTGAAAAAGAGCAAAATTTACCTGCGTAACAAAATACCCCCTTAACTGCTTCAGGATTGCATTAATGGATGCTTGAAAAATATTTAGAAACTTTAGCATAATAAAAATTTTCGTTTTTATTATTGTTTCTCGGTGTCTTTTTCGAATATTTGCTTATATCTCGAAAGCTAACTTTAGAGAAAAGTTCTCTAGGACGACCTAAAAAACCTGAAAAATTTGCGAATTTTTGGAATTCATTTAAAACAAACGTAATAATTTTCTAAGCAATTTTTAATAAGATTTTGCAAAAAGCTGAATCAGAATATATTTCCTAGCAGATGCGAAGATACTTCTTTTTCCAACGGTTCGGCTAATAATTTCAACCAGCTTATTTTCAACAATCGCTAATCTATCACGTCATAGGTACACAATAGTTGCAACTCAACAGATAAATGGATTCTGTCACAACTTTGACCCCGTCTTGATAATTTGACGGTCAAAATGAATTAGAATTGAGGCTGTTTAGGAAGTATAGAAACGTCTAATACAAATAACACGTCTGTATAGTAAAAACTGTATACTATATTTTTTCTTGCAGGTAAGCCATATCAAAGAAACCTTTAGATACCTTGGTAAGTGACTCTGGACATATCATATTTGAAAGCCATATCCACGAATGACAGTTGAATATCTGTGAGCAGACTGTTCGCAGTCAAGAAGATATTGCGTGGCATGTAGTTGCACATGTGTGAACAGCATCATGAGAACTTTTTATTCTAAGGATCCATTTTATTTTCATGTTACTGGGTTGTTGTCAAGTAGAGATGTTGTTTTTTAACTTTGCATGATGCTTTATGTCAAAAGTAATACTGTTATATTAATTTAGGAAAATTAGAAATATCAGCATTGGAAGAAATGGATTCAGAAAGCAGTAAATTATCTATCATACGGAATATTATTATTAATTTGAATAACCGTATATATAAAAAAACGAATAAAAAAGGCCTATCGAAGAAAATGAATGCCTAAACTTTTTTATATACAGTCTTTTAAACGTATTCTACTAAAAATCGAAACATTCATCCAGTGGAACCAGATTCAGAGGTTTAAATCTAGTTGATGACAGAACAAGAACAAATTAATGATCTTGTGATGAGACGGCGGTACTCTCATATCTTCTGCATTTAATTTACAAACCTGAATGATTTCTCAAGATCCATTTTATTTTCATGTTACTGGGTTGTTGTCAAGTAGACATGTTGTTTTTTAACTTTGCATGATGCTTTATGTCAAAAGTAATACTGTTATCAATCATGTGATACCGTAATTTCGGCCTATTATTAGTTGACGCTTTGTTAAATTGTTTAGTTTAACTGAGATTGAGGCATGCGAATTTCGAATGTTAGTAGACACTTACTGACAGCTTGCCAGGAAAGTATAATCTCATAAATATCGTCATTTTGTCATAATTATGTACTTACATAATTTGGTTAATCGAAGTTTATATGATTTACCTTCAATATTGTCAAAAATCTACCGCGATATTCGAAAAGCTTACATTCAAGAAATGTGCTACTACCAGAGATGTTCAGAAACTGTTGAAAAATATGCGAAACTAGTTTCCCGTTTATGCTCGGAAGGTAATATTATGTGTATTCCATTATGAAAAATGAATTAAGGAGTTTGTATTAGAAAGTAGAGGTATTTGTTATGCAAAGTGAAACAGCGACGTTTAGCTGTTTGTTTTTCGTCGAGATCGGAATTTGTTATAAATTACCATTGTTGTTGAAGCGCCGGTGCTTGCAGAAGATTGTGTGGAGTGCAGTTCTTTTTTAAAAAGAAAAGTTTGAAACAGCTTTATCATCCTGAGGAGTTCTTAGCCTGCGGACAGAACTTCCGCTTGCCCGATGCTGTGCGCTCTAGTAAAGAGGCCATTAATGTTACAAATATGTGAAAGCCGTTAACTTTAGTACTGAGACGTTCTTGTTTTAGGAGTAAGATCCGACTACATTTTGATACAACAATATTTTAGTTGACGATTAATAAAAAAGTATGATTTCGAAAGATAGATATGCATACGGTAAAAGAAATAATATATACTTACATGTGAATGAGAGAATTCATATCTTGTTGTTTCTTATAGATTGAGGAAATTTTCAAGAACGATATTCGACAGTCAGAAAAATAATTCTATGGAATAGTTCACAGCGTGGTTCAAAACACGATGATATTAAGTCTAGAGCAGTAACGACATCAAAAAATACTGTAGAATTTAACGTAAAAAACATATCATCTAAAATGCCCTATTATCAAGATACATGGTGTGAGTTTCCAAGCCACTGAGGATACTGATTTAGTGGAGCGCCATAAGACATAAAACCACCCAAACCACGGAACCCCGTTACGCTGGCTGCATTTATATTCGTAAAACTTTTTCGATTGCATGGTTAAAAGGTTAAAAAAGCCATGAAAACTGGAATAAAGAAGAAACAATCGAAAACAAAAATATTATCTTCGGCTTGTATTAAGATATAAAATTTAACTTTAGTACAAATAGTATTGACTGTGGTTTAGAAAATGCGAAATTTTAAGCACTACAGAAGAGATTGATGGTTTCGTCAAAATCACTTAATTTAGGAAAATTAGAAATATCAGCATTAGAAGAAATGAATTCAGAAAGCAGTAAATTATCTATCATACGGAATATTATTAATTTGAATAACCGTATATATAAAAAACGAATAAAAAAAGGTCTATCGAAGAAAATGAATGCCTAAACTTTTTCATATACAGTCTTTTAAACGTATTCTACTAAAAATCGAAACATTCATCCAGTGGAACCAGATTCAGAGGTTTAAATCTAGTTGATGACAGAACAACAACAAATAATCTTGTGATGAGACGGCGGTACTCTCATATCTTCTGCATTTAATTTACAAACTTTCGAATGATTTCCCAAGTTAGGTAATTTGTGTACTGCGTAGCCAAAAACGACTTTTAAGGGACTACAATATTTTATTTGAATTACAGGTATCTATGATGATATTTAAATAGAATTTGTTTATCGAGCATTTTTCAATTTGAACAAATGTTTCGCTTGTCTTCATCCTTCCAATATCAAGATAGCGTCAAATTTGTTTAGGAGCCGAATTTTTTTCTACAGTAATATGGTTGAAAAAATCATGAGTAGTTGTACTTTTATCGAGATATCCTGAAAGTTTGTGCCAAAAAGACGCACATTCTACTGCATTTCAAAGAAAGCACGAGAAAAGAAAGGTGTCATCACACAGCGTACGAGTTAAACTCTCATAAGGTAATCTACTTTTCGTTATATGAGCACCATAAGCTTATTATTGTAAAAGCATAAATGTTTTCCTAGATGTTGAAAGAAGGTCTTTTTGGCATTTCGGCCACCTCGGAACCTTCAACAAAGCACAAGGATTTAATATACTAAGTGACATATAAATCCGAACACCCAGTTTAAATGGTTTTATTTTAATAAAATTTTGTATAAGTACTTAATGAAGCATAATAAGTAAATGATAAAAATTTCAAAATGATTGCACTGCTTTAAAGCCCTTTGACCTTTAATAATGTGTGGATGCACCCTGATGTGCTACGCATTCTCCAACGCGCCTAGGCATGCTTCTGATCAGGTGGTCAATGTCCTCCTGTGATATCTCATTCCAGGCAATCACCAACTCCTCTCGAAGTGCTTCTAGAGTCTGAGGAGGACGTTGCAAATTGAGCAATCTCCTACCCATCATATCCCATACGTGCTCAATTGGGGATAAGTCGGGAGATCTTGGTGGCCATGGTAACAATGTTGAAAGAAGTCTATTGTGACTCTTGCAACATGTGGTCGGGCATTGTCTGGTTGGAAAGTTGGATCTGCCAGGGTGTCAAGATAGGGTAAAAGATGGGGTTCTAGAAATTCGTGGATATAACGCTGCGCATTCATGTTACCTCTGATGAAGATTAAAGGTGACCTGGAACCATAAGCTATAGCACCCCAAACCATAACTCCAACAGTGTGATGAACATGTCTTTCAACAAAAAACTGTGGATTCCTCCTTTCACCACGTCGCCTTCTAACCCTGGCACGACCATCGTGCATGCCTAAACAAAATCGAGACTCGTCACTAAAGACAATACTGTTCCATTCCTGATCCCAGAGTGACTGTTGTCTGCACCACTCAAGGCGATTACGTCGGTGTTCTCGAGTTAAAGGGAGGACCCAGTGTGGCCGGTATGAAAACAAGCCAAAACTTCTCATTCGTCGGTAAACACTTCGCATGCCAATAGGTCTTCCGTGTTCTGCAAACCATTCATTTGCAATGGACCTGGTAGTGGAGAAACGGTCCCTTAAGGCCAATAATCTTAGGCGGCGATCTTCACGGTCTGTTGTTCTACGGCGGCGTCCAGTGCCCCTTGCTCTTTGCGTACGGCCTTCTCGAAGCCATGCCTGACAACACCTAACCACAGTGTCTATACTTCTTTGCACTCTAACTGCAATTGCCCGAAAAGAAAGTCCAGCTTCCCGAAGTCCCACTATACGGCCCCTATCAAACTCACTAAGTTGACGAAATCGTACAGGTCTCCGTACTGTAGGCATCGTAACCGATCGTAAAGGATGTCAAGAACCAAAATCCGCCAACGTTGATTCTTTACTGCGGCTGAAATATTCATTTTTAGAGCGTTAGTGAATTAAAAAAAAGCAGTATAAAAACCGGAATGTCCAACTGATAAGGCTGAAAAATTTTTCTCTTGTTATTTACAGTAAGATAAATACATTCACCAACTTTTATTAAAATAAAACCATGTAAACTGGGTGTTCGGATTTATATGTCACTTAGTATAATTAACATTGACTTTTATCTATCGGCAAACACTTTTGGGATGCCTTGTACTAATGTACATCTATTACAGGAGATGAACGACCTCCTCATGATAAAGACGTGAAAGATATGTGATATGAGTGTTTGTTCCAATAACCAGATACATATGTACTAGGCATTTTTCATTCTGGAGATTCATATGGTATATTGGCATGAATGTATGAATCAACACGACGCGTATGAATTTTACAACTACAGAAAGAATTACGATCCACGAAAACCTAAAATAGAAACATCCAAACCGTTAGTTTTGTGTGAAATGAAGCGTACAAAGTAAGATAAACGAGAGTCTAACAAATAAACTGCGTTCCAGCATATAATGTTACTCAACATCAAAAGATAAATTGCTGCTAATGCATAACCATATTCTAAGACTATGCATCTTGCTTTTCCGAGGATACATATTATTCAAGTGACCTTTGTGACACTAAAGACAACGTTACTACAGATGTGGAACAAACTAGAAATCGAAACTGAATTAAAAGTACTTGTAAGAATTTCCTAGAATGTATTTTCGATTAATGACAATGGTTGCGTTAATCAGGAAGCAGGGTTTTGTAGTGCTAATGAAACGATCACCCTAACTGCGTTTCAGATTCATCGACGAATAAATGACTTCACTGGATGTCTGACTACCATACACAGGTATTAGCTGACCTGCAAATAGTCGCTTAATAGCGTTGTGCTCCGATGAATATGATCATACAGATCGGATTGTAAGGAGATTTTCTTTA